TTTGCCTTCACAAAGTGTAAATTTGCAGTCTTCAGTTATGATTGAACAAGTCCCACATCGAGGTGTTTGGCATTTTGTTACACGGAGTGATAAACCTTTTTTCATAGTATCACTTTTATACAAAATTGGAAGATTTGCTTTTATAATGGGCATAATGGTACAGTTATTAGGATTGTGGGTACAAACAAATGGAAGAATGTCCATCTCTGTATGTGTTTCTTTTGTTTTCATAAGTGTCTCTCTTGGGACTTTTACTGCTTTATGAACACTATTTTCAACTACCTAGGAAGATATGGCTTATACATCTATTACATATTACCTATTGTCACTAACTGTAACGTCATACGCATGATGACGACATAGCTACTACCGTTTTGCGTCGCCTATGACAAGACTTAGTTTTCATTGTACACATGAAGAGCCGTTGAACGGCGAAAGATTTTGTGCAGATAAAGTCTGGAGTTTTATATATAGATGTATAGATAGTTCATCTATAGATTGGCTTATGTATTTAGTGTGATAATTTAGCGTCACTTTCATCCTCAGTGTTCAATCTGATCCACGTAGAACTAGTTTAGCCCAGCTTCAATAAGTACCAACTGCATCGAGGTCCTAGATTGCAGTCTGCAGGGTTTTACATGACGCGTGATTCCTGCGTATTTGACGCGACAATTTTGGAAACGACTCTCAAAATATTATCATACGAGTCAAGCTTGACGCAAGTTTTATGGGTGGCCCTCACAATTCAGTTCAATAAAATCAATTTGATAAGCAAAAAAAGATATTGTTCGATGATAGTTTGACTTTTACAGAGCTGTCAGATTGTTCCAGAGCACTCAGAGGAGACAGTAATCCTGGCTGTTTGAATTGAACAATGCTGTGGTTTCGTTTGGTGGAGTGACATACATAGTTACATACTGAGAATGTTTAACATAAAGAAATATTAAAATTTTCATGCTTCCAAATACTGAAAATGACTCCAAAAAATAAACATTGTGAGTCACCATTTTTAAAAGTCTGTGTAAAACCCTGAGTCTATAGCAATATTATTTTAACTTAAAAACTCATTCGTTTGTATTTTACCTTTTCTCCAATATACTAAGCTTGGCTTGTTTTTTTTCATTATATGAATACAAGAACATTCACTAACTACAACATACCCTTACTTTCTGGTTATTAGATTACCTTTACAACAACATAATTACTGGTCAATAGGATTTGAAGCATGGAGTTCTTCTGGGAGAGCTGATGGGCTATGCTCATTACATGCCATGGGGGTGCCTCTACTCAGATAATTAATCCATGTAGTTAATTTGGGATGTAGTTCAAGTGGGATGTAGTTCTTATGGTAGTAAACCATGAAGTGTGACAAGTAAGTCTGCCACGGCGTCCAGGCCATATAAATAGGCATAATATTCCGGGCACAAAAAATGTTCAAACAAAAGTTACTCTTCAGGTAATGAGAAACAACATCAGTCCATCAGTAAATTGTTGTCAAAACCTTGTAACTCCACCACTCTCCCCACTCATCCTCAGCCTCCGACTGCCACCATGAAGTCACAGTCTTTGTCGCATATCGTAAATCATCATTCTGTACATACACTATTCTCAGGTCCAATTTATGGTGGTGTATTCCACCTCAACATCTCGAATGACCCCTCTTTGACTCGGATTCCGACTAGAGTTATCTTTCTTGGAACTGCTGTACTCCACTGGGACCAATGACGTGACTGTAACACGCCTTCCACAGAACATAAGGTTGTTTAATCTTCAGACTTGTTGAGTTTCTTGACAGAAAACTTTTTCTAGATGTATTCGTGGGATGGTTGTCTTTTAGATTTCCCAACTTTTAACCGTTGACTTTCCCCAAAATTGACAGGTTTCTATTTCCCAAAGTGTGTTTCAACACTACACCGTCACCCGTCACTAGACACACGTCAGTCGTGAATGCATGCCAAGGCTCGGCAGTGTGGATTTTCTGTAGGATAGAACCATAATAATAAAAGATTTTCTGCAGGATAGAACCATAATAATAAAAGATTTTCTGCAGGATAGAACCATAATAATAAAAGATTTTCTGTAGGATAGAACCATAATAATAAAAGATTTTCTGTAGGATAGAACCATAATAATAAAAGATTTTCTGCAGGATAGAACCATAATAATAAAAGATTTTCTGCAGGATAGAACCATAATAATAAAAGATTTTCTGCAGGATAGAACCATAATAATAAAAGATTTTCTGTAGGATAGAACCATAATATACTACCCATCAAAAGTTTAGACTCACTAGTGTAAATGTAGCCACTTACTTGTCCACTGTTCTAAACTAGCTTTTTGCAAAATATTCCATACTGTTTAAAGGTACTGTTTAGTTATGAACTGGTGTATTGTAAAACATATTCGTAACATTGAAAAGATTATTGTCATGAGTTCAGTAAATGATTAAAATCTATGAAAATTGGCGAATTCTTAACAAAACTTTACACCAAAACGCATCTGTTCACATGCACGACATTTGCTCATGCCTTTCGCAATTTGAAGCATCATCCTTGTGCAATTCATCTGCATAAGGTTTTCAGTTGGTTCCCCCAAGTTGGTGGAGAAATTCATCTTCGATGTAACCATATACATATACATAACATATAGTGAGTGCTTTAAGTGAGTCTAAACTTTTGATGGGTAGTATAATAAAAGATTTTCTGCAGGATAGAACCATAATAATAAAACATTTTCTGCAGGATAGAACCATAATAATAAAACATTTTCTGTAGGATAGAACCATAATAATAAAAGATTTTCTGCAGGATAGAACCATAATAATAAAAGATTTTCTGTAGGATAGAACCATAATAATAAAAGATTTTCTGTAGGATAGAACCATAACAATAGAGGATTTTCTGCAGGATAGAACCATAATAATAAAAGATTTTCTGTAGGATAGAACCATAATAATAGAGGATTTTCTGTAGGATAGAACCATAACAATAGAGGATTTTCTGCAGGATAGAACCATAATAATAAAAGATTTTCTGTAGGATAGAACCATAACAATAGAGAATCTTCTGCAGGATAGAACCATAATAATAAAAGATTTTCTGCAGGATAGAACCATAACAATAGATAATTTTCTGTAGGATAGAACCATAACAATAGAGAATCTTCTGCAGGATAGAACCATAATAATAGAGGATTTTCTGTAGGATAGAACCATAACAATAGAGAATCTTGTGCAGGATAGAACCATAATAATAAAAGATTTTCTGCAGGATAGAACCATAACAATAGAGGATTTTCTGTAGGACAGAACCATAACAATAGAGAATCTTCTGCAGGATAGAACCATAATAATAGAGGATTTTCTGCAGGATAGAACCATAACAATAGATAATTTTCTGCAGGATAGAACCATAATAATAAAAGATTTTCTGCAGGATAGAACCATAACAATAGATAATTTTCTGTAGGATAGAACCATAACAATAGAGAATCTTCTGCAGGATAGAACCATAAATAATAGAGATTTTCTGTAGGATAGAACCATAACAATAGAGAATCTTCTGTAGGATAGAACCATAATAATAGAGGATTTTCTGCAGGATAGAACCATAACAATAGATAATTTTCTGTAGGATAGAACCATAACAATAGAGAATCTTCTGCAGGATAGAACCATAATAATAAAAGATTTTCTGTAGGATAGAACCATAACAATAGAGGATTTTCTGTAGGACAGAACCATAACAATAGAGAATCTTCTGCAGGATAGAACCATAATAATAAAGTTTTCTGGCAGATTTTCTGCAGGATAGAACCATAACAATAGAGAATCTTCTGTAGGATAGAACCATAATAATAAAGAGATTTTCTGCAGGATAGAACCATAATAATAGAGGATTTTCTGTAGGATAGAACCATAACAATAGAGAATCTTCTGCAGGATAGAACCATAATAATAAAAGATTTTCTGTAGGATAGAACCATAACAATAGAGGATTTTCTGTAGGACAGAACCATAACAATAGAGAATCTTCTGCAGGATAGAACCATAATAATAAAAGATTTTCTGCAGGATAGAACCATAACAATAGAGAATCTTCTGCAGGATAGAACCATAATAATAAAAGATTTTCTGCAGGATAGAACCATAATAATAGAGGATTTTCTGTAGGATAGAACCATAACAATAGAGAATCTTCTGCAGGATAGAACCATAATAATAAAAGATTTTCTGTAGGATAGAACCATAACAATAGAGAATCTTCTGCAGGATAGAACCATAATAATAAAAGATTTTCTGTAGGATAGAACCATAACAATAGATAATTTTCTGTAGGATAGAACCATAACAATAGAGAATCTTCTGCAGGATAGAACCATAATAATAAAAGATTTTCTGTAGGATAGAACCATAACAATAGAGGATTTTCTGTAGGACAGAACCATAACAATAGAGAATCTTCTGCAGGATAGAACCATAATAATAAAAGATTTTCTGCAGGATAGAACCATAACAATAGAGAATCTTCTGCAGGATAGAACCATAATAATAAAGAATTTTCTGCAGGATAGAACCATAATAATAGAGGATTTTCTGTAGGATAGAACCATAACAATAGAGAATCTTCTGCAGGATAGAACCATAATAATAAAAGATTTTCTGCAGGATAGAACCATAACAATAGAGAATCTTCTGCAGGATAGAACCATAATAATAAAAGATTTTCTGTAGGATAGAACCATAACAATAGAGGATTTTCTGTAGGACAGAACCATAACAATAGAGAATCTTCTGCAGGATAGAACCATAATAATAGAGGATTTTCTGTAGGATAGAACCATAACAATAGAGGATTTTCTGTAGGATAGAACCATAACAATAGAGGATTTTCTGTAGGATAGAATCATAATAGTTACGTGACTTAGCCATACTGATAATTATTCATGTCGGCTATCATTCCAGAGCTGAGCTACAAAGCTGCTAGATAAAGGCCAAACAGCTGCCAACCTCCACGCCTTTACTCTTCACTCATGCCAATGTGCCTATCTATCAACTGTTTAACAATTTCTAACAAGTTTTCGTGTACACAACAATGCTTGCTGTTCTTTTTACTGCGTGTGCCGCGTTGCAGTGTGCAGGTAAGTTGTGTCCTGATTTAACCCCCGGGATTCGCTATGTTCTTCCCTAGATGCAGGGAGCTGGGGGGTAGCCTAGTGGATAAAGCATTTGCTCGTCAAGCCGAAGACCCTGGTTCGATTCCCCATATGGGTACAACGTGCGGAGGTAATTGCTGGTGTCCCCGCCGTGATGTTGCTGGAATATTGCTAAAATTACACTCTACCTAAATGAGTGATTGAATGATCCGTTGTTAAAATTCCAAATTACCCTGATTCTATTTGTCATCACGTACGTGCTCGTTTGTTTGACAATAGCGGATCTACGTTTTGTTTCTCAAGGCGTAATTCACTGCATCATGGAAAGACGTGTTCCTGCTAACTCCCATAGAGAAATGGGCTTGGGGTTGCACTGAGAGGTTGCACCTGTCACATGCTCCTGAGATATTTTGAGTTTTTTGCAATTTATAAGACCTGTCTGAGTGAGAAAGTCTGCATGAAGATCCATTGAAGCACAGAGATCAGAATGGGCTAATTGTGAAAGCTAAATTTTGCCCAAAAATGTACATGTAAAAGGAAATCCATGTACCTTGTTGAGAAACAAACAAGGTGAAGATATACATGGACTGGAATCTGTTGTTCTCCAATCAAGGCCGGGTATATGGCTGGATGAACATTTCCCCATACAGTGGCTTGGACTTCGTCTCCAATCAGTCTCTGTGCATTAAACAATGGGGATCTTCACCTACTCTGCTTCTGAACTCATCAATCTGAGGTTGAGAGGCTCAAATATCAGCCAAATAAGGCGTTATATTGACCCCTCAGTCGCAGAGGTCCTTGTTAATGCCATGGTAACATCTCGGCTAGACTACTGCAATAGCGTGTTGTACGGGATCCAACAAAACCAGCTTGACAGCGTGTCCAGAATGCCGCAGCCAGGCTTTTGACACATGTGTCAAAATATGAACACACAACACCGGTTCTAAAGAGGCACCATTGGCTACCTATCAAACAGCGGATCAATTACAAGCTCCTGACCTTTGACTTCAGGTCACTGCAACAAACGGCTCCAGTTTATCTGCAAAGTCTAATTGCTTTGCACGTCCCCAAAAGATGTCTCCGTTCAGCTCATATTATGCAGCTCGGTGTTCCCAAAACAACAAAACATATGGCGATAGAGCGTTTGAGAAAGCAGGGCCAGTACTGTGGAACTCTCTCCCTCTGGACATTTGTAACAGCAAAACGCATCTCTTTGCCAAGTATACCAGTGATCAGCGCTCTTGAGCAATCATTTTTGGAAAGGGCGCTATACAATTAATTAATTTATTTATTTATTTATGTATTTATGTATGTATGTATGTATGTATGTATGTATGTATGTATGTATGTATGTATGTATGTATGTATGTATGTATGTATGTATGTATGTATGTATGTATGTATTTATGTATTTATGTAATTATTTATTTATTTATTTAATGTGACCCGTGAAGATCAGGGCGAGAATTGGTCTTCAGCAACCTATGCTCGCCGACTTCGTTGACACTTGTCATCGTATCACAATTAGGTACACTGTCAATAAAACGTTGTCAATTTGACAACTAAAAAGTTGTCAAACGGGGGTGCCTTAGATAACAACTTGAGTTGTCAATTTGACAATGGGCAACTTTTTGACAATGCATTTGGGTTGTCATTCACGTGGTTGTATATTCAAATTGTTGTCAAGAGATATTCAATTTGAATATGTTATATATTCAAAATTGGCAATAGAAAAGATGTCAATTTTAATGCATTTCGATTGTCACAATTGGACAAGGGCATAATATAAACACACAGCCAATGGCAAACAATATAAGTATCATACGGAAAGTATGACTACAATTTCAAAATACAATTCATGCATTTAAGAATAAGCATTATCTTGTGAAACCAAAAATGAACACTTGTGTGGAGAACAATATCTTTTATTTCTAAACAATCAATCAGGTGTACAGTTTTTCATTAGTATATGAACAATGTGTGTGTGTGTGTGTGTGTGTGTATGGTTGTAACCCACATATATAAATGTGTGAGTGTGTATGTATGTATGTATGTATGTATGTATGTATGTATGTATGTATTCTGTCTAGTGTGAGTATGGAACATATTTCAAGATATCACAGCATTTCTCAACTTCTACACAAAGAATGTCTAAAATTACTTTAAAATTAATTATTTAAAAAACTCATATCTGAAACTCTCGTAATTACAATTTCCCAATGTTACAATTGAATCCATTCTGCTCTAGTCAGCACATTCAATTTCCTGCATTTAGTTTCGAGATCATGGAATTGATTGATTTTTCAACATTCTTGGTTTTCAAGGTTTTTTTACCCATAAATTTATTGTTGATTTTCAGCAAAATTTTGTCCAAGAAAAAATGGGATTTCAAGAGACCTTGGGCACATTGCAAATTATAGATGTAAAAAATCTGCAACGTAAACCTTGACGGCATCAATAACATTGTCCGTAGTGTACACTTTCTGTCCCTCAGCAAACACATGGAAAACGCAAACGTCCGTGAAGGCTTCTTCTGCAACTCCATCGCAGAGAATGAAGGATGTAATTGCAACCAAAAACTGAAATGAAATACTTGTTCTAGGCGGTGCAAAAGGTGTGCCCTTAGCCACTTAAATTATAGGAATAAACATATGTAAAACATACTTATATAAATATTTATCTACTTCTAAATATTCATACCATAAATGGGGCGGTGGGGTACCTAGTGGTTAAAGCGTTGGCTCGTCACGCCGAAGACCTCGGTTCGAATCCCCACATGGGTACAATTTGTGAAGCCCATTTCTGGTGTCCCCCGCCGTGATGTTGCTGGAATATTGCTTAAAGCAGCGTAAAAAAAAATTCCGTCAGTCAGTCATACCATAAATACTTATTTTCGTTTTGGATAAAAAGTACTTGAACACAAAATACTTTCTTTACAAACTTATATGATGTAGAATGAATTATGGATTAACATCAACTCATATTTGCTCCTATTTTTAACAATATAACAATATCCAGTGTAACTCACTTGACAGTCCTTTACAATGAAGGTCTTCGGCTCTTCTCTTTGGAGTCCGGGAAGACCCAGGATCACTGTGGCCAGTGCTGTATCGATACAAAGAACAGAGCATAACAGGGGTGGAAATAACTTTAAAATTGCTAGTGTACTCCGGTACAGTTGCACATGTAAAATCACTTGCCCTGATAATTTTTCCACTATACGGGCCATTTTCTTGTTGATTTTTTAAATAAACAACATAATTAACATTGGAATATCAACTGGACACCGGTACAGTGTGATATACAAATTTGCTTGCCCGGCAGACAAAAACACTGGACTCGGGCGTCGGGCAATGGGTTATTTCCACCCTGCGTAACATAATTGCCACTATTACCATAACTAACTGTAGGCATAACTGAACACATGCCTACACAAGGAGACAGTTGTGTCACCCAATGAAAAATATATCAGCTTTTCAGAAAGCTAAAATCTTTCCATTCATTGTCCAAATTACCTGGAGCTTAAAATTATCCGTTCAACAAATAAAAACGTGTTTTAGGTTATATTTTCAGGGACCAACCATTCACTGGGTGTACAGCTACATTTACGCAATAGCGACTGAAACAGGAAAAACATGCTTACACATTTTCTGTGTCATCAGTTCTTGTATCCACATCTTTCATCAAAGCTTTGACATAATCCTGGACTTTCGATGAATTTCTGATACGGTAATAGATTCTTTCAGACACCTTTCCCAGTCCGGAGTTCATTGTCTGCGATGTTAGTCTCTGTGAGTAGAGAGTATTCTGCACAGATCTGAAATCATAAACTATTTTGTGACAACATAACAAAAAAAACCACACCTTTATTTATTTATTTTAAATTTTGAGTGACTGTTACAAATTATACAATATGAGAGAAAACATGACTAAATATTAGATTAAAAGTTATCGACTTCATGGAATATATTCATTTTTAAACAAACAAAATCTGACAAACTTACTCTCGTGCTGCTACCTTATAAATCAACTTCAGTCGCTAAATGAGTCCATCTTTGAAATAAGACGTCAATGATATCATTATACTGATAAGACAGAGGATATCAGGAAACAAAAGACCTAGTTCTTATTAATGGTATTATTGGCTTTACAGATACATTACAATTTGAAATTTATCATTGAATAGGAAGTTCTTACATTAAATTGTACAAGTTAAACATACATAACCAATTTAATGCCGATATCTTACACATAAGGGACGTTACTCTAATGGTATGACTGAGCTAGGGGAGGTAACTCTAATATATAGTCAATATGTTGTTAATGTGACAATGAAGGTTGTCAAATTTAAACCGTGTTCCTGAAAATAATTGAATAGAGAATCTATGCGATTAAACTGAACATCTTGACATTCTCAAGCACACGTAAGTACTTAATGTTATTACTCGACAGATATTTGTGTTATATCTGATGCTATTTGGCCAGTTATTCTTCGGAATGTGTGCACAAATTTGTGTGGTGACCCGTTGAGACATTTCTTCATGATTTTCCGTTAATATGGACAATGCGAGAATCAAAAACACTGTATTCGTACTCTATAGTTATCTAATGAAAGGAAATTGTAAAAGTGTTTTGCATATACTTACTGTAACCACCTTTCCCCGCTCACTTTGACGCTGCTGACGTGTTGCAACTCATTTACTGTGACCTTCGCTGTGAAGGACATTGGAACTGCGCATGCGCTCAATCCGTCAAGTTTGACAACCTTGTATTGTCAAAGTTTGAGAAAACTCACAATATGACAATGCTTTGACAATAAACTATTGTCAACACATATCCTGTGTAAAACACGTGGTTAAACTATAAACATGATCGTCAACACTATCTAAATATCATATCTAATGAAAGTTTGTTTTAAAGCAGTCAGTATAAGACTCGCAATGTTGTCACAATAACAACATTGGTTGTCATACTGACAACTCTCAATGTTCAAACTGACAACTTATAATTGTCAAATCAATAATGACAACGCTAAAATTGTCAAATTGACAACATTTTATTTACAGTGTATGCTCATGCTGTTGAGCACTGGATTGTCTGGTCCAGACTCGATTATTTACAGACATGTCGCCACATTGTTGGAGTATTGCTGAGTGCGGCGTTAAAACTCAACCTTCAAACCTATTGTATGTTGTCTGCACGTTTGGCTTTATGACCTGAATACTTGAGAAAACCCAGCCTGTCTGTCTGTTTAGCTATCTACTCACATATTCATCCAATTTAATATTTTTCTATTTTTTCATCATACAATTGTTTCACCTCGAGAGCAGCGAATGATCTTCTGTTAATATATACTGTACATTCCTTGACCAGTATAAATATACACAAAGACGATCGAATGAGCCCCGATCTTAGCCCTAAGGAGCATACCTGGGACATGATTGGTTGTACATGATTGGTTGTATGATTGGTTGTACAGAACCTAGCCCAATGTTGGAAGCTGCTTGTACAGAACCTAGCCCAAGTGGAAGCTGCTTTACATGGAATAAACTGCCCTTCAGAGGATCAGGAGGCTGACAAGGGGTATAGGGAGGAGAGAGCTGGCTGTCATACAGTCACATGGAGGTTACGCTCGGTATTGACCTTGAATCGTGTAAGACACGCAAAATGATATTTTGAATGTTCACATTCACCAACAAATTCAACATGTGCAGACATGGTTTTGTATGGAAATCGGTGTTTTTTTAAAACGAGCAATTATCACCATAAGATCAACATGGATTCCAAACATTATGTCGGTTTTTTTATAAGTCACAGGATCATTGGGGTCAGAAAAACTCATGTTTTTCCATCGTGGTCACCATGAGACGTTTTATGTACCTATTGAAAACCTATCATTGCAAAAATACAAGGGGTGCTAAGTTCTCCTTTCACTAAACACTAAGGTGATCGTAAGTCACTAAGGTAACCTTAGTGCAATGTTAAAGAATCGGAGTTAAGGTTAATCTTAGTAAAGGTTGCTTCGTGAAAGGAGCCCCTGGACTCTATTGTTTATACCAAGAATAGAAGACGCTGCACATTATCCCTGTTTATACATGCAACGCCAAAGCACGTGAAGAAATTAATTGGTATGAAAGGCAGGATACTTTTGGATGACAACTTATTTTTTATATTATGATGCGACGTTTCGGTGAAGATTCTTATAGCACTGTAAGGCCAGAGTAAAGTAATACAGATTTGGAGATTTAACATACGCTTCCCGACATAAGGCGTACTTCACACATGGTATGATCAGTGTGCGAAATAGGTTCCAAATGTTGCTAGCCAGTCGGGCTAGCTATGCCTGAAAGTTACTAGCCTACAGAATAATTCACTAGCCCGAAATTGGAATGTTGACACGGGTTTCATCATTAAGCTGCTAATATGATGAACATCTTTATCATGCCAAAATTGCATGATTTAAAAGTGTATTATAACTTAAAATGTCCGGTAGAATGATATGTTTACAAAATGACCCCATGAAAATTCATTAGCCAGTCGGGCAAGTGACTGTGGAGATTTACTGGCCCGACTGGATTTTTACTAGCCACGGGTTAGCGGGCAAGTGGCTATTTCGAACACTGGGTATGATACAGCACAGAACAGATTCATATACATCTGGGATGTATCAGGGATTACGTAAGGCAGAATGGGGGGTATGTATCAAAGGGATTAACAACAATTTATGTTGATAATAGGGCTGTATTGAGCGTATTGGCAAATAAATTGTACTGCAATATATTCCGATTCAGGTACCCGTATTGCGCTTGCGAACTTGACAATGAGTGACACTAATTGTGCATGCCAATCCTGTTTCTACATTATAAGTCCCTAAACATGGTTCTGATAACAGCAATCTCTTTTTATACTGACTGACTGAGTTTGGTTTTTACGCCGTTTTTAGCAATATTCCAGCAACATCACGGCGGGGGACACCAGAAATGGGCTTCGCACATTGTACCCATGTTGGGATTCGAACCCGCTTTAACCACTAGGCTACCCCACCGCCCCTCTTTTTATACAATTTATAGTATTACAGTATGCTGTTTTGTCATTGAATAACGAAGGAAAACATTTGTTGTGAATGCAAGTCTGTGTAGATTTTGATTTAGGCCATAAATATAATAATTAAACGTCATTTATATTGTTTACCCAATATACCGGTTGTCAGAAAAATACCATTGGAAAACGTATCTTTTGAAAAAATGTATTGCGATATACAGGTATACCGGTTATACCGTGCAGTCCTAATTGGTAATAATGCAGTAACAAAGCCGACGGTTCAAACAGTCCACAATTTCGTAAAACCCTATTTACTGCGTTACTGCTCCCGGTTAACTCTAAAACTTAAAGCGATCTATGCGCGGAATATGATTTAGTTTGTTTGGGGTTTTTTGTGGGGAAGCACTGAAAATGATCATTTACATATTTCCATATTCTTTTGCAAATACGTAACTCATATTTAATTCTTCAATATAATTTGGAAGCACCTTAAGAGTTTCTAATTATTTTTGTATTCGTCAGTTAACTCGTCTCCTTTCTAGATGTTCGTAACCAGCATCCCAACAACAAGATCGAGATGAGTGTCCACACAGAGCCAACCGCAATCCGAGAACCAAAGCTGGCATAATCTCCACCCCCAATTTAATATAGAAATTGTCATCCATAAAGTATCATGTCTTTCTTATTATTCCTCAGAATCTAAAATGCCAATCAAACAGAGAAATTGCTTGAATATATATGGATATATATATGTGTATGATTATAACACAATACTTTATCGATATTTATCAGCTGGGGGCTCGTCACTACCCGGACATCTCGACATGATTTCCGGTCTAGCAGCGAGCAGACGACACCCGGGCATTTTGTACGCAATCCAAGACAACGAAGGTGATGGGGACGTGTATATACTGGATGCCACCGACGGCAGCGTCAAAGGTAAAAAATATATTGCAATTGTTACATATTGAGTTCCAAGCTGAATCAACAAGTGAGTGAGTGAGTTTAGTTTTACGCCGCACTCACCAATATTCAAGCTATATGGCGGCGGTCTTTAAGTGTTCGAATCTGGAGCAGACAATCTAGTGATCAACAGCATGAGCATCGATCTACGCAATTTGGATACGATGACATGTGTCTGTTTATAAGTGTTAAAATCAGCGAGTGAGGTTTTACGCCACTTCTAGCAATATTCCAGCAATATCATGGTGGGGGACACCAGAAATGGGCTCTAAAAGAAGAGTGGTGGGTAACCTAGCGGTTAAAAAGTGTTCACTCATTACGCTGAAGACCCGGGTTTGATTCCCCACATGGGTGCAATGTGTTAAGCTCATTCCTGGTGCCCGCTGCCATGATATTGTTGGAGTGAGCGAGTTTATTTTACGGCGCACTAACCAATATTCCAGCTATATGGCGGCGGTCTGTAAATAATCGAGTCTGGACCAGTCAATCCAGTGATCAGCAGCATGAGCATCGATCTACGCAATTTCGATACGATGACATGTGTCAACCAAGTCAACGAGCCTGACCACCCGATCCCGTTAGTTGCCTCTTCCAAGCATGGGTTACTGAAGATCAATTCTGACCCGGATGAGGACGACACACTAAATAATCGACGAGGCTTTGTTACAGGAGTTTTAATTGTCCAGCATGGCGAGGAGACTGACTGGGAAGACATTGCTGTCGGACCCTGCCCCGACGGCGACAGTTGCATCTACATAGCCGACTCAGGAAACACTAACCAGAAGTCCAGCAACGTCGTCTACAGAGTGAAAGAGCCGGACTACACATACACCCAAGACATTCCCCTGACCGGCAGATACCACTACACGTAATAATAACTGAGTTAATAATGATAATAATTCATTTATGTAGCGTCAGTACACATCTTACTGACTGGACGCTGTAATCAGAATCTGAATATTATTACCCCGGATAACCCAAGCTGCCTGTGATGCGCTAGGAGGTTAATAGACACATGGCTTATCTCACAGGGTACCCATTTTCTGTTGGGTGAACAGAGGGAATTTTGAACTTTGAGACAAAATGTTCTCTCTCTCTCTCTGGGTAGCCTGGTGGTAAGCTCTCTCTCTCTCTCTCTCTCTCTCTCTCTCTCTCTCTCTCTCTCTCTCTCTCTCTCTCTCTCTGGGTAGCCTAGTGGTTAAAGCTCTCTCTCTCTCTCTCTCTCTCTCTCTGGGTAGCCCTGGTTAAAGGTGGTTAAAGCTCTCTCTCTCTCTGGGTAGCCTGGGTTAAATCTCTCTCTCTCTCTCTCTCTCTCTCTCTCTCTCTCTCTGGGTAGCCTGGTGGTTAAAGCTCTCTCTCTCTCTCTGGGTAGGTGGTTAAAGCTCTCTCTCTCTCTCCTCTCTCTCTCTCTCCTCTCTCTCTCTGGGTAGCCTAGTGGTTAAAGCTCTCTCTCTCTGTCCACAGTGGTTAAAGCTCTCTCTCTCTCTCTCTCTCTCTCTCTCTCCTCTGGGTAGCCCAGTGGTGGTTAAAGCGTTCGCTCGCCGGTTAAGCTCTCTCTCTCTCTGGGTAGCCTCGTGGTTAAGGGGAGACTCTCTCTCTGGGTAGCCTAGTGGTTAAAGCTCTCTCTCTCTGTCTGTACCCTAAACATATAAATTCATTTTAGTCTTCTCGTTACTTCAGATGGAATCATCCCGTGTCCGAAGCACTTATTGTTGATGCTTCAGGAAATGTTTACGTCCTGTCCGAAGCATCCGGAACCGGAAGTACTCTTGGACAACTGCCGTCGAGCGGATGGACAAGCGGAAGTCCGACCGCTGTCAAGACAGTTTTGACCTTACCCATCTCAACCGCCAACAAAGGCCCCCTGGCGGCAGATATCTCACCAGATGGGAAACAACTCTTGATAAAGTCACTGCACCACATATATGAATGGTCGATGCCCGATAAGGACGTGAAGAAAGCGCTGAATCATCCGGGCAAGACTATCCAAGGGTACAAGCCAGAGAACCGAGGGGAATCTATCGCATGGTCATCTGATGGGCGTGGTTTCTACACAGTCGGTCAAGGCTCAAATGAAAAGTTGCATTTTCACTCTTTTCCATGAGAATTAAACCAAACATTATTCGTCGATTTCACATCGTTTTTACGTCACGATTTTCCCTCTGCGAAATCATAAATTTATTCTCATAATAATATATTATCCATCAAAAATAGGGTAGTGGGGTAGCCTAGTGGTTATAAGTGTCATGTCGCGGGACACCAGAAATGAGCGAGTGAATGAGTTTAGTTTTATGCCGCACTCAGCAATATTGCAGCCATATGGCGGCGGTCTGTAAATAATCAAGTCTGGACCAGACAATCCACTAATCAACAGCATGAGCATCGATCTGCGAAATTGGAAACCGATGACATGTGTCAACCAAGTCAGCGAGCCCTGACCACCCGATCCCGTTAGTCGCCTCTTACGACAACCATGGGTTACTGAAGGTTCATTCTAACCCGGACCTTCACGTGTCACACCAGAAATGGGCTTCACACATTGGGGAATAGAGCCCGGGTCTTCGGCGTGACGAGCGAACGCTTTAACCACTAGGCTACCCCACCGCCCCCAGTCCGAAGACCCGGGTTAGATTCCCTGCAATGTGTGTAGCCCATTTGTGGTGTCTCCCGCCGCGATATTGCTGGAATATTGTCAAAAGCAGCGTAAAACCATACTCATTCACACACTCGATCATATGAGCCTGTGATTTCACAGGAATCTGTAATGTGCGCTATGCTACTAATAAGTCATGTACATTTTAGTAAACATCAATAATAATGTTTCTAATCAATTTGGGAACGAAACCCCGCGAATTTGTATTCACATAAAAGAGCGAAAACTGTTTTAGATTCTTGTATTCTGAAGATTCTGATCGGGACAACACATTATCCTTTTACAGAACTTTCAACATATTTCGGAATTTGTTAAATTGTTTAGTTGAAGAAATGTTGTATCGCACTGAGCAATATTCCAGCTATATGGGGGAGATCTGTAAATAATGGAATCTGGACCAGACAATAAAATAACAACATCATGAGCATCGATCTACGCAATTTGGATACGATGACATGTGTGAACCAAGTCAACGAGCCTGACCACCCGATCCCGTTAGTTGCCTCTTACGACAAGCATGGGCTGCTGAAGGCCAATTCTAAACCCATCTCCATGGATCTTAATGTGATGAACATCAAAGAAATAACAAATAATTGCATGATTGGTGTTCGATGCAATCATTAAGAAGTCTCCGTTCGTTAAGCCGTTCGACCCCGGTCTACTTCAGGCCGGGGCTCGAACCAGCGTTCTTCCAAGCAGCCGCTCTATCCACTGCGCCAAGGAGGCGATCAGTCACAACAACCGAAATGTTGGCGGTTCGACTTTCAGTGTAGCGACTGTAATACCTTCCAGTTTATAATCACGCCGAACACCCGGGTTCGAATCCCCACATGGGAACAATGTGTGATGCCCATTTCTGGTGTACCCCGCCGTGATGTTGCTGGAATATTGCTAAAAGCGGCGTAAAACCAAACTCAGTCAGTCCAGTTTATAACAGGTGACAATAAGGTGGAGAAACGGTTGCCAATGAAAGCGCACCACTTAACTTCTGACAAGCGATTTCGTTAAGGAGCCAAAGTGATTTTGATAAAAGGACCATATTTTCAGCTTCTTTCACTGTTCATCCAATTAACACTTATCAGAGGGGTAGACGAAGTCCGCAGTCTAGACTACCAGTTGTCCGACTTCCATTTTTGTGGAAGCCGCGGTGGCTGAGTGGTCTAGGCGTCTGACTTTGTGTGCTGGCGATTAAGTGCCTGACTCTGAGGGTGTGGGTTCGAATTCCGGATGGGACTCAACCCAAAAAGTACTAGAATCTGTACTTTACTAAGAAAGTGTAATCCCAAATATAACATATGTTTTCATTCACTGTTATCTTTATTTGAAATAGTATTGAAATAGTAAACCCCAAACAGTGACAGTGTAATGGCCCACCCCTCCGCTAGATACCACCAGAAGTACATATAATTCATGGCGAAGAAAGGCATCACTTCGCCAGAATGCTTGTCTTCAGGTCCAGGACCGCTATTAAGTCAAGAAGAAGAGGCTCGTCTTGTCAGTCATTTGAAACTTATGGCGTCTGTCGGATATGGCTACACCAGGGCACAAGTTATCTCCCTTGGGACAGAGTATGCTATAACTTTGCATAAAAAGAACCAAGCAAGACAATAATCTGTCTTTGCAGTGGTTTTATAGCTTCATGGGCAGATGGCCAGAACTGAAACTGAGACGTCCTCGTTCCCTCACACAGCTTCGAGCTACAACAACATCAGAGGCAAATGTAGAGAAGTATTTCTCGCAGCTGGAAGAAGTCCTTGACAAGTACCAGTTAAAGTCAAGCCCAGAGATGATCTACAACGTTGACGAGAAGGGGATAAATTTAACACACTCAGCACCCCAAGTCGTTGGATCGTCTACTGAGGTTCCCATCGAGATCTGTCCTGAAAAATCGGCTACTGTAACAGTTCCTGGGTGCGGTAACGTTATCGGCCAGAAGATCCCACCCTTCTTCATTTTTCCTGGGACTCGTATGCGGGATGACTTGCTCGAAGGATCCAGCGTTGGAACATCTGGAACAGTTAGTGAGAGTGTTGGTCCAATTCCGATATTTTCCAACGTTGGATGGTTGAACACTTCTCAAGATACGCCAATATCGGAAACGAGAAGAAAGTCCTGCTACTCTATGATGGACACCGTTCACTTATAACACCAGCACTCATTGATTTTGCTGTGCCAAAGGGGATTATCTTATTTGTGTTGCCACCGCACATAAATCATGTACTTCAACCCATGGATGTTCGTTGTTTTGGACCATTTACCAAGATTTTCAGCGCCGAATGCAGGAAGTATCAACGTTTGAATTCCGGAACCGTCAATAGGTACAGCGTTTGTGGACTTGCATGCAAAGCATATGAACTCTCTCTCTCATCATTCAACTTGCAGAGCTCATTTCGGAAATGTGGGATATTTCCTTTCAATCCAGCGTCTATTGACAGATCTTTCCTCAAGCCATCGACCTATGCTAAGGAACAAGCGGAAAAAAACATCAGAGGAATCATGAACTGGAAGTGCAGAAGGGACAACACGATCAGAGACCTGGGAGGGAGCATGCTCGGTTTCATCAAATATATCTCGATTAAATGGCACAATCCCAGTACACCGAAATCCAGAGATTACATTATTAGGTGTAGTAGCTTGAGGAAGAGATTCTCGGAGAATCTCGGGGATGTTGTAAATGGTCATTGTCTGACCAGGATGATTCAACATCCAGGAATCACAACATCTACTTGTAGCTTTTTTCCAGGGCCCAAAGACAGTTCTGTCGAAAGGTTGCAGTTTATGGGATGTGTGAGGCGGTAGTGACAGAAGAATAATGCCCATATCCTTGCAAAAATCCAAATCCTCGCCGATCCCAATTTCTTTGATGAACATCTTCCCGTGGTCACTCTTAAGAAGTCTCAGAAACCACGTCGGTCCACACACAAGATCGTCGGCGGTCAAGCTATCACAGAGCCTGCTATATCTACACAGGTCATGGAATATGTAAATCAGACTAAAAAGCCATCTGCGACTCGTGTGAAATCTTCAGCTGCCCGAAACGAAGAAAACATCAAACAGAAGAAATCTACTGCCGGGAAAAAACAACAGAAATCAGGTCGCTCATCAGTCGCCAATAAGTCTCATTCTTCCCCGAGCCTGGACCCTCTGGTATTGACAAGCTGCTTATATCCAGCGACGATGACCGCTCTGATTCAGATGTAACTGACAGCGAAGAAGAGAAGTGTTGTGTTTGTGGTAAATTTCAGCCCGAAGAATTGCGTCGTTGTCCACACGTGGAATTCACCAAGTGGGGTCAGTGCACGTTTCGTGACTGTGAGCATTGGGTGCATCTCAAGTATTGTTGTACCACCTCATTCCTTCGCCGTCACGACGAATTTTACTGTCCATGTCATAATGAAGAATAATCACAGTGTTAATTGTGCAACCCTCATGAAGAATTCATTTTACGTATTCCATTGTTCAACAGTACATATTTGGAGAACAGGGTGCCCTTCCACTAACCGATCTTACCTAAGATCAATCTTAGCAAGTTACGCCAATTTTACAATCGTCTTAGCTAAAAGTTACACCCGTTCCACTACACGATCTTAGGCCGGTCGTAGCAGGTCCCGATCTTACGATCCGATCCAAGCTTAGATCGAGACTCTTTCGTGCGAGTTATCTCCCTTTGCATAGTCTAGCAAATGATGGAAGTAGTTTACGAACCAACTGAGTGAGTGAGTGAGTTTAGATTTACGCCGCACTCATCAATAGTCCAGCTATATGGCGGCAGTCTGTAAATAATCTAGCTAAGATGCATAGCGTTCACTAACATGAGCGTTCATGTTAGTGAACGCTATGTATCTTAGCTATAAATAATCGAGTCTGGACCAGACAATCCAGTGATCAACAGCATGAGCATCGATCTGCGCAGTTGGGAACCGATGCCATGTGTCAACCAAGTCAGCGAGCCTGACCACCCGATCCCGTTAGTGGCCTCTTACGACAAGCATGGGTTATTGAAGTTCAATATTCTAACCCGGGCCTTCATGGGTATTTTTCCAACCAAGTGTAAACGTGGAGAAAAAACCTAGAGCAAAATATTAGGGTAGTGAGCACCTTGGTTTCAGGTGCAAGTGCGTGTGAACGCTGGGTATCAGGCATAACATAATAATAATAAATGCATATTTATAGTGCGCCTATTCCACATCCTGGGGCATGCTCAAAGCGCTATGTACAGATAATTTACACGAGAGTATTTACAGCCGAGATTATAAGTTATATACTGAGAACAGGTTTTAAGTCTGGACTTTAAAATGTCATTTATGTCAGAGCTTTCAATCAGAATGTGAGGAGGCATCCTCTATATACTGTCAGTGGTCTTGCGGCCCTGCCATGAGAATCCCCCACCAAATAAGCGCACGTGAAATCAAACATATTTGTATCTTTTTTTTAAGAACATTGTTCACTTCACGGCTGTCCCTATTCTTAACCATGACGTTG